TCTTCATCTTTCTTGAACTGGGGAGCCCAGAACTGGACTCAGTACTCCAGATGAGGCCTCACCAGGGCAGAGCAGAGGGGAAGGAGAACCTCCGTCGTCCTGCTGGCCACACTTCTCTCGATGCACCCCAGGATCCCATTGGCCTTCTTGGCAGCCAGGGCACGCTGCTGGCTCATGGTCACCCTGTCATCCCCCAGCACTCCCAGTCCCTCTCCGCAGAGCTGCTCTCCAGCAGGTCCGCCCCAGCCTGTACTGGTGCCTGGGGTTGTTCCTCCCCAGGTGCAGGACCTTCATTTATATCTGAAGAGGCTCTTGGAGCCTTGTAGGAATTTGCTGCTCGTAGAGCTCTTGGTCCAGAGAGGATCTGGGGTGCCTGTGTGCCCTACGGGCAGTGTGGAGTAAGAACAGCCAAGTTCTGTCTCCAGTGCCTGGCGCTGACGTGCCTGTTGCTGTTTTCCGTCCCCTTCTGGTGCCGGTAATTCGCGTTCCCAGGCAGCGCGCACGCCCTGCAGTGCACGGCGCAGGATGCTCCCTCCAGTTACCTAGCACAGACGGCTGCAGTGGCTTGGGAAGCGCTCAGGTAAGGAACGCTGTTTGATCGCCGCTCCTCGCTTGCAGCGTTACTCAGCTGCGGGCGAGGACGCCTGGCGATGTTTCTCGGTGGTCGTGCACCATCGCCTGGCGATGTTTCTCGGTGGTCGTGCACCAGTCTCTGTTTATGGAGAGCACTGAAGTCATTCCTTCTGTCCGAATGAGGGGGTCCAGATTGCTCACGGTTACTGGACTTCACGCGGGAGCGCCTGGCTCCAGCTCCGCAGCCCCCTACCACAGACCAAACCGGATGATCTCAGCAGGCTTCCCGGCCCCTGCAGCCAGCCAGCCGTGATTTTGTGCAGACTTGGACAAGCAGCAGATGAGGGTTCAAGTGCAGGACAATGCACTCCATTTTCACTCGACTGTTTCTTTGAAATGCTCGTTGCAGTTACAGAATTTGTGTGACGATCCGCTGGGTATCAGTTTTGCAACAAAAAACCCTTCAGCTCTGGTAGTGGTGGTGTTACTCTGGAGCAGTTTGGAGCGTAGATAGAAACCATCTTATTTTCCCTATTATGGTATCAAAGTTCCCGGTGCTTCTGCGATGATGAAAGCTTTTACTGCTGTTGCTGATCTCCTACAGAGAATCTGTTCCCGTTTCACCCTGGCGTTTGACATTTTCAGGCCGCGGGCTCTCCCATTAAGAACACAGGGTTGCTGTGGTTGGGGGGCGCTGGCAAAGGGTCAGTCTGCCGCAGTGCTTGGGAGGTGCTTTGCCGTGGCCAAAGGCAGGTTTGGGAGCTCTCGGCCTCACCCGGGGCTTTTTTTTTACGACGCGCTGCAGTGACTGCGGCAGAGCAAAGGACGAGGTTCGGTCCTGCGTGAGGCTTGGCAGGCGGGAGCTGCTCCTGAGCTTGCTCTCGGAAGGCGAGGGCATCCTGTTCACGATGAGCCTTAGCACAGATACAAAAATACTTCGTTTTTCTCAAAATTTGTGAACTGTGGAGTAACTTTCTCATTTACTTGACTGTCTGCACAAGCAGCTCCCTTAGTTTTTGTCTGAAGATGAGGATATGGGGAAGACGTTCTTCTAAATTTGCCCCCTTGTAACGAAGGCAGAGGGTAGGAATGCGCACACCCGTGGAAGTGACAAAGCCCTTCCACGCAGGTTTAATGGCGCATCGCTTAGGTGTGGTCACTGGGTGAAGGTTTGCCAAGGGTACAACTGCACACGCGGACGTCTCAGATGAGCGTTCCGTCAGCCTTCTGTCGAGGCTGCTGAAATGGTCTCTGCGCAGCAGAGCTTTTGTTCGAGCGCTTTCTACCAGGCGCGCCGAGAGGCATCTCGGTGTCTTGTCTCTGAAATGCAGTGCATGGATAACTCTGTTAAAATTGTAGTAAAATAGCTGATGTGTGTATGACACTTGTAATGGCTGAGTAAGGCTTGAGAGTAAGCTTCTGGGTAAGATGTAGTAGAGAAATTATGCATTAAGAGGAGTGTGGGCAGCAGGGCGAGGGAGGTTCTGCTCTGCCCTGGTGAGGCCCCATCTGCAATGCTGTGTCCAGTGCTGGGCTCCCCAGTTCAAGAAAGATGAGGAGCTACTGGAGAGAGTCCAGCGGAGGGCTACGAGGATGAGGAGGGGACTGGAGCATCTCTCCTA